AAGCCCTCAACCCTAAACCCTAAGAAATAGCAAAGAGGCCCTGGCGACGAAGGCTCTGGCTTAGGCTCTGCATTCTTCATGGCCTACATGCTAAGGCTTAGGGTTTCGGGGCTTTGGCTCTAGGCTTTTAGGTGTTTATGCTCAGGGTGTTCGATTTCGCCATTTACGGTTTTAGGATTCAGGCCTTGAAGGTTTAGGGGTTTAGGGGAAGGGGCCAAGTACCTACAGTAGTTGCTAGATACTTGGGATTTGGGTATTAGAAATGACAATGCAGCTTTTGGGTAAGTACATGATTCTTGAGCACTTGTAGGCTTAGGAGACATGAATCTAAATGAAGTGGTCCTTGTCATCATATAAAGGTTTTCCAAAATCAGGGGTCCCATCTTGGGAGTACCTATACGGAGGGTTTAGGGTTTTGCTTATGAAGGTCTACATTGCGAGTCCCGTATGCGTGGAGACCCCATGAGGAGTTACAAGAACTGACAGGAATTCCGTATCTTATAGTAACCATATTTCGTGATCCTAGCAGCGGCCTATTGTGGACCGTGAGTTACACGGGTTTTGTTTGAGCCGTAGACCCTAAACTCCCAAACCCTAAACCCTCAACCCCGTACCCTAAAACCTAGCCTTTCACCTCAAACCGCGTGGAGGGCCCGTGTGGTGCTTGGGCTTGAAGGAGGTTGACTTGAGTAGAGATTTTCTGTGGTTGAACCTCGTAAGACTATAATCCCTATATAAATACGATACCCAAAAAGCAGGGTACATCTAACACTCTTACTCTATATTAGGAGGATATAGTCTTGCTCTATATTGGGGACTATAGTATCTAACTAAAAATGCGACCCATTTGAGGATCTAGATTTTCGGGCTTCGCGATCAAGCAGTGGCGTACTTTCGAAATATGGCGCTACAATATTATTCTCGTAGCTGCCCTACCCTAAACCCGAATTGTGGAAGGTTCCTGTGAATGAGGGTTTGCGATGTAGGGTTGATGGACTACTCAGACTTAGGCTCCAGCTCCGTTAGAAGCTTAGTGCAACCGAACAATGACCTTTCGCAAGTCTCCCAAGCACAACGCCAAAAGCCCATAAAACGCTAGACACACCAGCCTGGGCTTTTTGCCCCCCTCCCCACCCAACCCACACACATACACCCTATATCACAAACTCTCGGCCTTTCAGCCTCCATGTTTTACTGGCATTCACAAGGTGGGCGGCCATAAAGGTTCTCTGCCGGGTCAAAACAAGTCCGGACGACTACTCGTGCCTTCTAACAGTAATATGGCAGGAGTGACAACGATAAGGACTCCCTGCCAGAAAATGTGTTCATTGTGGAGCGGGCTTGGTATTAGATCTAGAGAGTGCGTCGGAATACAGGCCTGTGTTTTTCAGTGAAAACAAGTGTTTTTTTACACGTTTTTAACGGTTGAAACCATAAAAAGCATATATTCTCATTCTAATTTGTTTGCTGGCTGTCAATGCATTATTTCCATTTTGGTTTAGGATACTTGGCAACGCTTTCCCAGTCTATGGGAGAACTGTGAATTCCAATAGC